ATCAGGCCAGAAGGGAATGGAATAAAATATACAAAGTCATGCAAAGGAAGGGTCTGAATCCAAGAATACTGTACCAGCAAGGCTATCAATCAAAATTTAGGATGAAATTAGGAGCTTCACAGACTAAAAAGGACTAAGGGAGTTTATTATCACTAAACTAGCAATGCAAGAAATGCTAAAAGATCTGTAAAAAGAAGAAATAGGAAGCGAAGAAGGAACACAGGTATAACAAATAAAAATGGCGATAAAAAAGTACCTATCAATAATAACTTTAAATATAAATTGATTCAATGCCCCAATAAAAAGACATAGAGTAGCTGAGTGGATAAGAAAACATGACCTACATATCTGCTGTCTACAGGAAACCCACCTCAGATAAAAGGACTCACACAGACTGATGATGAAGGGATGGTAAATGTCTTCAGGCAAATGGAAACAAAGCAGAAAAAGCTGGGAAGCAATACTTATATCTGACAAATTAGATCTCAAAGTGAATGACATAACAAGAGATAAGGAAGGCCACTTCATAATACTAAAGGAAGCAATCCAACAAGAAGAAATAACTCTGGTAAACATACACGCACCCAATACAGGAGCATCCAAATACATTTAAAAAAATAAAATAAACTTATGGAGGCTATCAAGGGAGACATTGAAAGCAATATAGTCATAGTAGGGGATTTTAATACTCCACTATCACCATTGGACAAATCTTCTAAATAAAAAATCAGCAAAGAAACATCAATCCTAAATGACTCAATAGATCAGATGAAATTAATTGACATCTTCAGAACATTTTACCCCAAAGCCACAGTAAATACATTCTTCTCCAGTGCACATGGGTAATTCTCAAAGATAGACCATATATTGGGTTACAGGCAAAGTCTCTTCAAATTCAATAAAATAGAAATCATATCAAGCAACTTCTCAGCTCACAATGACATAAAACTAGAAATCAACTACCATAAAAACATTTAAAAAATCAAATACCTGGAGGCTAAATAGCATTGCTATTAAACAATGACTGGGTTACTAGAGAGACCAAATAAGAAATAAAAAGCATCATGGCAACAAACGACAATGAAAACACAAAAATTCAAAATCAATGGGACACAGTGAAAGCAATCTTGAGAGGGAAGTTCATAGCTCTACAAGCCCCCTGCAGTAAACAAGAAACAATGGTAATAAATCACCTAACGCTACAACTCAAAGAGTTAAAAAGAGAGCAAAGGAAAAGCCCAGCATAAGCTGAAGGAAAGAAATAATAAAGATCAGAGCACGGATAAATGAAATAGAGACAAAAAGAAAAAAAAATACAAAAGATCAATAAAACCAAGAGCTGGTTCTTTGAAAGGATAAAAAAGACCGATAAAGCCGAAACCGGTTTGGCTCAATGGATAGAGCGTCTGCTTGGGGACTGGGGGACCCGGGTTCGATTCCGGTCAAGGGCATGTACCTTGGTTGCAGGCATATCCCCAGTAGGGGGTGTGCAAGAGGCAGCTGGTCGATGACTCTCTCTCATCGATGTTTCTAACTCTCTATTTCTCTCCCTTCCTCTCTGTACAAAATCAAATAAAATATATTAAAAAAAAAATCAACCATTAAAAAAAAAAAGAGACCGATAAAACTCTAGCCAGGCTCACCAAGAAGCAAAGAGAGATAACCTAAATAAACAAAATTAGAAATGAAAGAAGTGAAGTAACAACTGATCCCACAAAAATACAAATGATTATGAAAAATACTATGAACAACTATATTCCAACAAAAAGGACAACCTAGATGAAATGGATATATTATTAGAAAAATATAAGCTCCCAAAACTCAACCAGGAAGAATAAATAAACCTGAGTAGACCGATAACTACTGAAGAAATTGAAACAGCGATCAAAAATCTTTCAGTAAACAAAAGCCCTGGTCCAGACAGCTTTACAGGAAAATTCTTTACAGGGAAATTCTACCAAGCTTTCAAAGAAGAACTAAAACCTATCCTCCTCAGACTATTCCAAAAAATTCAAGAGGAAAGCACTCTTACAAGCTCTTCTATGAATCCTGCATTAACCTAATCCCAAAACCAGATAAAGACACCACAAAGAAAGAGAACTACAGGCCAATATATCTGATGAACATAGATGCTAAAATCCTCAACAAAAATTCTAGCAAATCAAATTCAGCAATACATTAGAAAGATCATACAACATGACCAGATGAGATTTATTCCAAGGATGCAAGGATGATAAAATAGCCACAAATCAATAAATGTGACACATCACATAAACAAACTAAGAAGACAAAAATCACATAATCATATCAATTGATGCAGAAAAAGCATTTGATAAAATTGAACATTCTTTCTTGATAAAAACTATTAACAAAAACTATTTTTCTTGATAAAAACTATTAAAGTGGGAATAAAGGGATCATACTTCAATATAATAAAAGCCCCCATATGACAAACCTAGAGCCAACATCATACTCAATGAGCAAAAACTAAAGCCATTTCCCCTAAGAACAGGAATAAGACATTCTCACCACTCCTTTTCGACATAGTACTAGAGCTAGCCATTGAGATTAGACAAGAAGAAACAAAATGCATCTAAATTTGAAAAGAAGAAGTAAAAATATCCTTATTTGCAGATAACATAACATTATATAGGAAACACCAATGATGCCATTAAAAAAATGACTAGACCTAATAAATGAATTTGGCAATGTAGAAGGATACAAAATTAACACCCAAAAATATGAGGCTTTTTTATACACCAATAATGAACTCACAGAAAGAGAAATGAAATAAAATCCCATTTACCATTGTATCAAAAAAAACTAAGATACCTAGGAATAACTTAATCAAGGACTCAAAAGACCTATATTCAGAAAACTACAGGACATTGAATAAAGAAGACATAAACAAATGGAAGAACATACCATGTTCATGGATTGGTAGAATCAACATCATTAAAATATCCATACTACCTAAAGCAATCTATAGATTCAATGCAATACCTATTAAAATACCAATGGTATATTTCAAAGATATAGAACACACTCTCCAAAATTCATATGGAATAAAAAAGACCCCAAATATCCACAGCTGTCCTGAGAAAGAAGAACAAAGTTGGAGGTATCATAATACCAGACATTCAACTATATTATCAAGTGACAGTTCTCAATACTGCCTGGTACTGGCACAAGAATAAACATATGAAACAATGGAACAGAATAGAGGTCCCAGAAATTGACCCAAGCCATTATACTCAATTAATATTTGATAAAGGAGTCAAGAGCATACAGTGGAGTCAAATCAGCCTTTTTAATAAATGGTGCTGGGAAATTTGGTCAGATACATGCAATAAAATGAAACTAGATCACCAATTCACACCATACACATACACACACACACACACACACACACACACACACACACAAAAAAAAAAAAAAAAAAAAAAAAAAAAAAAAAAAACCTCAAAATGGCTAAAGGACTTGAATGTAAGATGAGAAACCATAAAAATTCTACAAGACTCCATAGGAAGCAAAATTCCAGACATATGTCGTAGCAATATCTTTACAGACACAGATCCTAGGGCAAGAGAGATTAAGGAGAAAATAAACAAATGGGACTACATCAAAATAAAAAGCTTCTGCACAGCAAAACAAACCATCAACAAAACAATAAGAAAGCCCACTACACGGGAGAACATATTTGCTATTGATTTTTTCCAATAAGGGTTTAATCTCCAACATTTACAGGAAAATCCTACAACTTAACTAAAGGAACATAAATGACCAAATCAAAAAATGAGCCAAGGACCTAAATAGACACTTTTCCAAATAGAACATTCAGAAAGCCAAGAAACACATGAAAACATGCTTAAAGTCACTAATCACCCGAGAAATGCAAATCAAAACAACAATGAGGTACCACCTCACACCTGTCAGATTGGCTATCATCAACAAATCAACAAATAACAAGTGCTGGAGAGGATGCAGAGAAAAAGGAACCCTCGTGCACTGCTGGTGGGAATGCAGACTGGTGCAACCATGTGGAGAACAGTATGGAATTCCTCAAAAAACTGAAAATGGAACTTCCATTTGATCCAGTAATCCCACTCCTAGGAATATATCCCAAGAAATTAGAAACACCAATCAGAAAGGAAATATGCACCCCTATGTTCATAGCAGCACAATTCACCATTGCTAAGATTTGGAAACAGCCTAAATGCTCATCAGCAGATGAGTGGATTAGAAAACTATGGTACATATACACAATGGAATACTACACGGCTATAAAAAGAAGGAATTCTTACCATTTGCAGTAGCATGAAAAGACCTGGAAAGCATTATCCTAAGTGAAATAAGAGAGGCAGTGAAAGAAAAATACATGATCTCACTCATTTATGAATAATAAAGAACATTATAACCTGATGAACAAAAAGATAGATACAGAGGCAGACAAGCATCGAACAGACTGTCAAATTACAGTGGGAAGGCTGGGGAGTGTTCATGGGGGGCAGTAAAAGATCAACCGAATGACTTTTATGCATAAATATAAGCATAACCAATGCATAAGCAAAGACACTGGGGAAGTGGGGTGAGGGCATGTGCTGAGGGTAGGGAAGGCAGGGGAAAGGTCAATGGGGAAAAAAAGGAGACATGTGTACTACTATTTGTAATATTATAAACAATAAAATAATTTTTTAAAAAAACATAAAGAAGATACAAAATTTCGGCTATAAATTAAAATCATGAGATGTAATATATACCATAGTTCTATAGTCAATAATACTGCATAATATGTTTGAAAGTTGTTCTTGAGAACATTTTTAAAGTTCTCATCACAAGAAAAAATTTGTAAGTATGTGTGGTGATGGATATTAAGTAGACTTATTGTGGTGGTCATTTCACAATATATACAAACCTGGAATCATTATGTTACACACCTGAAACTAATTTAATGTTACATGTCAATTATATCTCAATTAAAATAAAGAGTTACTACATACCAGTTACTCGAAGCCTATCTGTACCAACCACAACTTCACTTTCATCAACAGCAAAAAGTGGTTTGCCTCCTTTGGAATTGATCTGAAACTGTTGACTCTGGACTTCTACCATTTTGGGACCTGAAGGATTAATTGGAACAGTATTATAAAGAGTTCACTACATGTAGTGTCATGATCACTATTTTTACACATTCCATCTCATCCAGCAATAGCAAATTATTTACTATTTAGAATTTTTTAACTAATAGGTTTTTTATTTTATGAGTTAAGTTCTAAGCCTAAAGCTATTATATTATTACAATTAATTCCTGTCAAACATATGCTAATATTTATCAAATATATGTATTTATAAATTATTTAAAAGTTAATTTCTAGTTTTTTTGAAATCTGCCAAAAACAATTTAATTCTGCCATTCATATTATTTAAATCTGCATTCTTTTGAGTATTAACCAAATAAGAATTTTGTATTATGAAATATGAGATTTATGAAAGACAATCTTTTTTAAAAAATACATTTTATTGATTTTTTTACAGAGAGGAAGAGACAGGGATAGAGAATTAGAAACATGGATGAAAGAGAATCACCTATCAGCTGCCTTTTGCACAACCGCTACTGGGGATGTGCCCGCAACCTGGGACCTGGGACCCCTTAATCCGCAGGCTGACGCTCTATCCACTGAGCCAAACCGGTTTCAGCATGAAAGACAATCTTATAAATGGCTCACTTTAATGGTGAAAGTTAACCCAGAAAATGACACACTCAGATTATCTTATCTGCCCTTATCCTCAGAAAACGTCTTCACCTCTTATTCCATGGGAAAAAACAGACATCAATATGGAAGAATTACCTCAAATTTTTGTCTTCTTCACTCCTTCTTTCTTTTGATTTCAGTGACAAAGACATCACTTTCTCCTCCAAGTTTAATTCCCTCATGTGTGCTTTAGATCCATTGTATTTCAAATCATTACTGTATTCAGCAAACATTTAACCAATGGGCCAGGCACTGGGGATGCTGGTATCCTCTTGGCGTGAATAAGAACATGTACTCATCCTTATATTTCATAATTTCGCTTTGTATTTTCAATTTTCTAACCTGGCAGCATAATGGGTTAATCTTTCTAGAACACGGCTTTCACCATTTGCTTACAGAATTACAAGTGTCTCCTAGTTCTTTGGCATGTTAGCTTTATATTCCTATCTAGAAAAGTAAATTTATTGAGAAAAATGAATAGCTTATACTTTTTGTTTATGTGTCCCTGTGTTCCTTATTAAAGTTGATGGATACATGCTAGAAATTAAATAGAAGCTTTTCAATTAATACATGAATCCATTTTGGACATGGTTACCAATGTATTCTTATATTGTTTTATTAATTTGTACCCCAAAACCTTTCACTGATAATTCATTTAAGTGTGTGTGTGTGTGTGTGTGTGTGTGACTTATAAAGTGGATTCATTTTTTTCCTCTTTTATCTTCTTTCTCTAAATGAAGCCTGCCTTAATTTTTTTTTTTATAGTTACCTGTATAGTTGCCTGTATTTTTGCTCTTTTGAGCTTTCACTCAGACTCAATCACCCAGTGATTCAGTGTCATCTTCTAGGTCACTGATATAACTTATGTGTAAACACTGATTTGCATTAAATGGTGAATATATAATTATCTTGAATATACAGTGATCTGAATTTAAAATTAAGAAGAAAAACAAAAAAAAAAAACCTTGAAATAGCCGGAACCAGTTTGGCTCAATGGATAGAGCGTCGGCTTGGAGACTGAAGGACCCCGGGTTCGATTCCAGTCAAGGGCATGTACCTTGGTTGTGGGCATATCCCCAGTAGGGGGTGTGCAAGAGGCAGCTGATCGATGACTCTCTCTCATTGATGTTTCGAACTCTCTATCTCTCTCCCTTCCACTCTGTATAAAAATCAATAAAATATATTTTTTTAAAAACTTGAAATAATTTATCCAATAAGAGTTCAAAGAGTTTTGCTCGCTGGAGATTCATATAACAATTTTAGGAGTTATTAAGTAAACACCTTTAGGAGTTATTAAGTAAACACCTTTATTAAGTAAAGGGTGTTAAAGACTTTTTCTGTAAGCATTGTTTTATATACATTGATGAAATCTTCAAAAATTAATTTAGCTGTATCATTTTCCTTATTAATAAACCATATAAGCATATGCTTGAATAAAAGAAAATGCAGTTCTATTCAACACAAACTTATTGTATTTTTTTTATGCTCAAGGTCCTGTGCTATAAAAATTAAAGATATACCAGGGTATAAGTGAGTGAGATGTAGCTCACAGTTTATAAAAGAAAAAAGCACATAAGTTTAGTTCCAGAATAATTTGATAGATGCCACGATACCAGCATGGACAGGGTACAATGAGAACCTTGACAAATAATTCATGGTCCACCCTAGGGGTCAGAAACAGAATGCTGGGGAGATGATATCTGAATGGACCTTGAGGAAACACTTTATGGTCCCCTGCTGAGGGAGAAGGAGGCACTCCAGTAAAGGGTACTATTTAATAAAGATACAGTGGTGAATAAAGTTTCATTTTCACTTTATTAAAAATATACAAACATTGAATGTTAAATTTAAATGTTTTCCACTTCAGAAGAAATTATTCTCCAAAGATAACAAGCCCAAAATTACAGGGATAATAATCTCTGAAAATAATTAAGTTTGTAATCGATCTTTTAACTTCTATTAATAATCTACTAGTTTTAAAAATACATATTTTATTGATTTTTACAGACAGGAAGGGAGAAAGATAGAGAGTCAGAAACATTGATGAGAGAGAAACATTCAGCTGCCTCCTACACACTCTCTACTGGGTGTGTGCCTGCAACCAAGGTACATGCTCTTGACCAGAATCAAACCCAGGACCCTTGAGTTTGCGGGCCGACACTCTATCCACTGAGCCAAACCAATTTGGGCAATCTACTAGTTTTTATAACTTAGTTGGACATAGATTATAATTGAGCAAGTAATCTGTTGTAGCAAAGGTCTTTAAGAAATAGAATTTAAATTCTATCTTGGTGATAAGTAAAACAACTATCTGGTGAAATTACAAAGAAGGAAATAAATAAAACACACAGGAAATAAATAAAGGAAGGTTTTATGATCTGATGAATTTGTGAAATTGGCTTAGAGTTTGTCTAGTGAAAATACAATCAAATTCTTCCTGTCATACAATATGCCTCATTAACAGTCCTCCCCATTCCACTGTGATTGCTTGAATTTAAGATACCATCATTTAAAAACAAATATCAAACCCCATAAATCCATTTGAGTACAATTTGCATACTTCTGAGGTGTCTCATTTTTTAGCTAATGAAAATGTGATTTATTTTAAATCAAAAGAAAATTAACTGTAGTGACCAGAGCTGAATTTATAAGGTAAGATTCCATTATTGTTGCTTATGATTTGATATCTTTTAGTTCAACTAGGTAAAATACATGGTGATGGAAGATTATTTGACTTTGGGTGGTTGGCACATAATGCAAAATGAAGATTATGTATATCATAGAAATATATATTTGATATCTATATACATTTATTAGCAAATATCACCCAAGTAAAGTTAATAAAAAGAGAAAAAAACATAAAGAGAGGTTTCTGGATTGTGTGGACATCAAAGGAAGGGACTATCACTACTTGCTCCTGGGAGAGGTGCAGAAAATGTAACTAAGACCTTGCCTATAAAAAAAGAAATTGATAACCAGTTTGAAATGAAATTGCCATGACCTAGAGCAAAAAATATCCTTACATGATATTATTCTACAATGTCATTATAATTTTTCCAAGATTTGTGTTACCCCCATTACCTATAATAGTATCTCACACCTTTGGGGATCAATAAAAACTCATCTTTTTGGTACCTGGAGACAAAGGTAGCACATCTCTTGATATTTTAGAATTACAACAGCATAATATACAATTATCCCAAACAAACTTACAAACTAATTATTTGAGTGTCTGGCAGCAATGTAAAAAGGACATGAAAGGATTTATTCCCTTCCATTTTATAGAGGGTCCCCTGAGAAGGCACCTGAGCATTCTATATTGGTCCCTCTTGCCCTTTTGGCAAAGAGGGACCCTCTTCTCACAATCCAATTGCCCTGCCCACAGCTGTTGCCTGAGCTTTCTGTTCATGCTGAGGTTGAAGCCTCATGATGGCTGGTTCTAAGGATCTGTCCCTCGCCCAGTGGGGTGAGCTGGGCATTCCCTATGGAAGAAACCTGGGTTTCACTAGTGTTGTGGCCCTGCCAGCAGGAGAGGGGATCTCAAGGCAGTTGCTAGGCATGGAGGCCACAGGGGCATAGGCTGCAAAGAAGACAGAACTGAACCTCACATCATCCTGCTTGGCCCCAGAGGATGGCTAGTTAGCCAGAGATGGGTAAGATTCCTCAGGAAGGGAACAACCTAAGACAGGCACAGTCTCAGAGGAGCCAGCAGGAGAGAACTTTGGGGTCAACAGAAATGGGGCACAGACCCTCCCCCCCAACTTTGCAGGGGCCTGAACCCTCACCTCTTCTGAGAGAGGTCTCCTGCCCCCATGGCTGCTTAACTTCCCATGCCCAGCTTAAATTGGGACCTAGGTAACAGACAGAGACTTAGCTGACAGCAAGTCTTGTTGCCCTCTCACTGCAACAAGACTTGTTTGAATTATCTTGTACTTTTGGTGTGAGGAAGTGGGTTTTTGATATCTAGATCCAGCCTAGCACCAGGAATGCTCAGCACCTACTCAAGAAGGCAAAGAAGCCGAAACTGGTTTGGCTCAGTGGTAGAGCGTGGATCTGTGAACTGAAAGGTCCCGGGTTGGATTCTGGTCAGGGGCATGTGCCTTGGTTGCGGGCACATCCCCGGTAGGGGGTGGGCAAGAGGCAGCTGGTCGGTGTTTCTCTCTCATCGACATTTCTGGCTCTCTATCTCTCTCCCTTCCTCTTTGTAAAAAATCAATAAAAATATATTTAAAAAAAAAAAAAAGAAAAGAAGGCAAATAATCCTTTCCACTACTATTTATGGGGTAAAATAAGAATGTTGTTACAGTATTAAATTTGACAGTAAAATAGTAGTCAAGTTTTCAGGCTAATTAAAATTGGCTAATTGAAATAAACGAATATTTTAGAAAAATTAATTGTACTAGACAAAAAGCTGTTCCTAAAGTGTTAACTAAAATTTTTATGTAGTTCATCTCATAATAAAATTGTATAACATGTAATGAACCTAAAGCTGTCATATTGTAATGTAAAAAGTTAAAATTTAAAAGCTATCAAGACTACATTATAAAATTTCTGAAAGCCTCCTAATATTTAAATAAAAAAGGGAGGGGGGTAGTAGAAGAATAACATGTAAGAAAAAATATCCTGTAAGTAAATTACATCTGGAAAATTTTTACTTTAGAAAATTAATTTTCATTTGTAATGCTAATAACAAGACACCCATGTAAAATATGCATGGTATCAAAACAAGCCAAAGGAAAATTGTTTGAGCAAAAAATGAAAAAGGATCACAAGTCAAATTTATAGAAAAGATTATTAACTTTTGGTCAAGAACATGTTTGTATATTTTCAGAAAACAACTCCAAGACCATGTGGATTCCTGCAACAAAGAGGAATTGACAGGACTACTCCAGGTATGAAGACAGAAGAGAAGCAGTCTAGAGATGGAAAACACTGATGACGCCTTGCCATACTAGCAGTCAGCAGCTGTGCATCATTGCAGGTTGCTCAGGACCAAACCAGGGAGAGTAAGACCTGCATTGCCACCATTTGTCCACCATCCAGTACTGAAATATCATTCCTGACATGTACACATTGGAACTGTTTGACATTGAAATTGGGACTCAAAAGACCTGTTGGCCCAGAAAGATATTCACTACAGACTGATTCATTTGCCTCTCAGCATAGCCATTATTGCTTGTCTCATTTTTGGTTCTTATAAGTGTATTTATAGTAGCACATGATCTCACTGATCTAGGAGAAATGATGAACAACATAGACTGATGAACAAGAAGAAACCCGGAGACAAGGAAGCATGGATCAGACTGTTGGATCTCAGAGGAAAGGTGGGGAAGGGTGGGAATATGGGGGAGAGATCAACCAAAGGACTTGTGTGCATGCATATGAGCCTAACCAGTGGTCATGGACAACAGGGGGTGGGGCATTCATGGGGAGGGGATTGGGATGGGAATGGGGGAGATGAGGACAAATATGTGATGCCTTAATAAATAAATTTTAAAAAAGAGAAAAAAACATATTTCAAAGATTTGAAATGCTAGCTATTAGTGCTTGCTTTTCAGCGCTTAATTTCTTTTGGAATTTAAGACTTTGGTTTTGACTGTACTGATTGCCAATTTTTTCAGTTGTTTAATGATAAATAATTATTCATTTAATCAAATGGGGTTAATTTTACTAGTTCATATAAGCTACATTTTAATATCTGGATTGGCTAAATTTAACTTCTTTTAGAAAATATAAGGCTGAGCCAAAACCGGTTTAGCTCAATGGATAGAGCGTCGGCTTGGGGACTGAAGGGACCCAGGTTCGATTCCGGTCAAGGGCATGTACCTTGGTTGTGGGCATATCCCCAGTAGGGGGTGTGCAAGAGGCAACTGATCGATGACTCTCTCTCATCGATGTTTCTAACTCTCTATCTCTCTCCCTTCCTCTCTGTACAAAATCAATAAAATATATATATATATAAAAAAAAAGAAAATATAAGGCTGGAATGGCTTTATTAGAAGTCATCTACTGAAAATAATCTTGGATTTGGTGAACTGAGTTATATTCTTTAGCTCAGGATTTTCAATATAAGAGGCCTTCCAACCAAATCTATAATAATAAAAGCATAACATGATAATTAAACCAGATGTCCTTCTGGACAGCTTTTTGGACGACCTTTTAGACAAAGCCACAACAGTGAAGGCTGAGCCCCTTACATGAATTTTGTGCAATGGGCCTTTAGTATTTAATGGAAATCGCTAATTTTAGTGATTAGGCATGAAACTAAGGTTAGAAGTCAAGATCTGAGGCTAATATATTAAACCAAAGTAATTCCAATGGGAAACTCCCTCCCCACCCACCCATTGTAACTGTATTTGCAACAGCTGTAACAGTTACTGGCATGCCATAATTTAAGGAAATCTGGTTAGAGAAAGGGAAGGTTAGTGGAAACACTCCTGGCTGAGAGAGAGAAGTCCTGAGGTCATTCTTGGTTTGGCTTTTCTACTAACTAGCTGTTCATTCTTGAGCAAATTAGCTTTTTTAGTGATTCAGTTTCGTTTGTTTTTGTTTTATTTATGAAATTGGTAACAGATTTATTATCTCTAATTCCCTTGAATGATATATGAAAATCCACATTTAACCAAAAATTAAGTGAGGAAATGAGAATTTGTTTTAAATTGTTTTTAAGAATATAAAAGGAGTTATTTACTTCTGGAATTTCTAGGAACAACACTTACATGTTATTAATTACTTGGCAATATATAGAAACTGGTACATAGACATTTGACAAATGTTTGTTGAATAAATGACAAAAGGGAAATCCCTCAAACATTTTAAAGCTAGACATTTAAAGAATTTTAAGAAAAGGTTGTAATGATAAATTATAATACTGTATAATTAATGGAGAACATATGACTTGACTTAGACAAGTTTTAAGAACATGTATCCTCAATAAACTCAAGTTCATCTCTAGATACACTGAGAATTTCTTTGGACTTAGTGATCAAACAAACTTATAAGCAAAAGTGAAATAAAATTAATTTTTTGGAATAAGTTATAAAGATTAAAACAATATAAAATATGAAGTTCTTGTATTAGTATAATAAAAAGGAATCATCAGGTTTACATATGGCTGTAGTTTCCAATGTAACATTATTCTGTTTTGTGAAAACAGCCATTTAAAAGAAGAAACACTGGGTGGTTTTTGTGTGCTATTTTCCGCTTCTTGTGGTGAGCAGGCTTTACGTCAACTGAGTCCTGAGGGCTTGGGGTCTTGCAGATTGAAAACTTAATTCCAAAGTCATAGCAGAACATGTGAAGTTCATTGCCAGGACTGTGATGGTATATGAAGGGAGTGTGAAAGGGGCATACAGGACCTTAAGCAATATCCTCAGCATGGATGTGTTCATTGAGGACATCAACAGATGTAGGTACTATGAGAAGCCTTGCCACAGAAGTAAGAGGTAGAACTATGAAACCTGTGGGAGGATCTACACCTTGGAAATCACTTGCAAGATCAACTTTTTCATGTGAGAGAATTGGAGGGATCCATGGAAGGGCTGCTGAGGATTGCAGATAGTAGGCTCAGTGTGAAAACCCCTATCCAGTTGTGTCTCCACTACTTTTCTTTCTGCAACTCTATTTTCTCTTACAATTTCTTGCAATAAACTCAATCATATATATAAAAATATTAAATAAATAAATTATAAATTATAAATAAATAAATAAATAAATAAATACACAAAGTAAACCAGCTTGTGTTGGCAGTAAACCTTTCATCTATTTTTCCATAATCAAAAGGACCATCTTATTTCTTAAATTTGCCAAACATATAGAATGCTGATAGTATAGAGAATATATACATTTTTCTTTTACAAGCTGGCTTACCCTTTTGTTATTTCTTTCATACATTTTTGCCTGAATCTTGTTTCTGACCATGCAAGTTTTTATGTGACTTCACTCCCATGTGACCTTATTCTCTGGTCTTTTCTGGTTGGATAGATTTGCATAGCCTGCCCAAGGGCATTCAGTTGAAGATAAGTATTGAATTTATAATTAATGAAATTAAAGACTAAGTTGGTTGGTGTTGAGAACTACAACTAATCAAATGAGAAAGTAGAGAGGTCCCGGAGGTCATATAAAGTTTGAACAGATGCAACTGTAATACCCAAGAGAAAGAGAGGCAAATATACACTGAGAAAGAGGGGTATATGGCAGAGAGGGGGAGAGGGACATGTAGGGAGGAAGTAGGGAGGGAGGGAGAGAATGAGGAAGAGAGAAAAAACTAATACTTTGGGATCTCAGCTTCTGGTCTCTGTTTTTTTAGGCCAACTACTTTGGTTAGTTTTCTTTTGTCTCTGTGAGATTCTTCTGTAACCTGTAATAATCATTATGTTTCTTGTGGTACTTTGAATACTCCTCTACTTCTTGGAATCAAAATAACTTTAATTAAAATACTTCAGACTATTGTTCCTTGATGCTACTTATTCTCTGTGATCAGCACAACATGATATTTTTCTAAATTCATACACTGATTATTCATAAATAACTTTGAATTCTTTAGAAGAAAAAAACAAACTCATTAGTTCAGCACACTATGGACCACATATATGCAAAGCACTGAGATGAAGCCTGACTTACCCACTTTTAATCTCCCAGTGACCTCCCCTTCAGAGTTCTGTGCATTTACAGTCACATTCTGAGTAGACTGTAGAAGCAGAGATGAGTCCTAGAAAAGGATTTAAGAAATTAGCCAAATGAATATTACTTACAATAATTATAACTTTATATTTGTATATAAATTTAAGATTTATATGAAATAATTTCTCCATTATCACAGATTTATGTTTAGGACATGATATATTTTAAGAAGATAAATCAGAGAATGGTTAGCTCTTCTATAAGAAATACCATGTTACTTTTATTTTATTTATTTATTTTAAAAAATATTTTTATTGATTTTAGCAAGGAAGGGAGAGGACAAGAGAGATAAAAATGTCAATGATAAGAGAAAATCATTGATTGGCTGCCTCCTGCATGTCTTCTACTGGGGATCAAGCCTGCAACCCAGGCATGTGTCCTTGACTGGAATCAAATCCGGGACCTTCAGTACACAAGCCAATGCTCTATCTACTGAGCCAAACCGGCTTGGCCAGTACCATGCTACTTTTAAAATGCAAAGGCTTCTCACAGTTGCAAAAGAGCTTTTAAACTTTGTTGGATGACCATTTTTTTTTATGTCTTTGTTGGAAGATAAATGATTAGTGCTCCATGGTTCACTCAGAGGGAACCAATATTCCAAAATTGTGGGGGGAAATTTGATTTTTCAGAAGAATTATAAAAGAGCTTTGTAACTCTATGTATAAGGAAAGAAATTCTCCAACTTGTTTGTGAAAGCAGATGGATTTATCAGCCTCTCATATTTTATCCAATGATGTAACCTTAATATTTGTTCAATTGTTATAAATAAATAGAGGCCCAATGCACAAAATTCGTGCACATGAGGGGGGGGGGGGTCACCCAGCCTGCACCCTCTCCAACCTGGGACCCCTCAAGGGATGATGACTGCCTACTTAGGCACTTTCCCACCAGGATCGGGCCTAAATGGGCAGTCAGACATCACTCTCACAATCTAGGACTGCTGGTTCCCAACTGCTCACCTGCCTGACTTCCTGATTGCCCCTAACTGCTTCTGCCTGCCAGCCTGATCACCCCCTAAACCACTCCCATGCCAGCCTGATTGATGTCTAACTACTCCCCTGCCAGCCTGTTTGCCCCCAACTTTCCTCTTCTGCTGGCCTGGTCACCCCTAACTGCCCTCCTCTGCAGACTTGATTGCCCCCAACTGCCCTCCCTTGCAGGCCTTGCCCTCCCAAGTGCCCTTCCCTGCTGGCCTGATCACCCACAACTGCCCTCCCTTGCAGGCCATCTTGTGGTGACCATCTTATGTCCACATGGGGGCAGTCATTTTTGACTACATGGAGGCAGCCTTCTTGTGTGTTGGAGTTATGGTCAATTTGTATATTACTCTTTTATTAGATAGGATAGAGGCCTGGTATACAGGTGGTTAGCCCTGAAAGATATCCTGAATCAGGGTGAGGGTTCCCTAGGAACATGGGGCTGCCTGGGAGAGGGGCCTGTGGTGGTTTACAGGCCAGCCACACCCACCAGCAACCCAAGGGAAGTCCCTGATATCTGGGATTTATTTATATTCTATAATTGAAACTTTGTAGCCTTGAATGGAGACCAAGGCAGGCCAGGGCTATAAGAGCTATGCTTCCTCCATCGCCAAGAGCAACTTAAGCCTCCTGCTCTCTCCAGCTCTGTGGCTGCCACCATTTTTGTTGGGATTTATTTATCTTCTATAATTGAAACTTTGTAGTCTTAAGTGGAGTCCTGGGCCAGCCAGGGTGTGAGGAAAGTTTGGCTTCCTCCATTGCCAGGGAAACCCAAGCCTCCTGCTTGCTCCGTGGCCGCAGTCATCTTGGTTGGGTTAATTTGAATACTCACTCCTGATTGACTTGATGGCATGGCTTGTGGGTGTAGCAGAATGGTGGTTAATTTGTGCATTACTCTATTATTAGATAGGATAAAAAGTTTTCTCAGCCCAGCAATACAGACAAATTAATTTTGCAAATTCATAAGGCAATTTCTGTAAGTTTATGAAACAAAAAATTGTTTGACTATATTTTGTGCCTGGCTCTACTTGTTATGAAAAATTACTTCCTAGGCTCATCTTTGAAAAGGAAACATAACTAATACATCAATGAAATGAAAATCACAAGACATCATTTTATTCAGTGAATCCTGTTATTGAAAGTCATATTAGATACAAAATACTTTATCCATAATATTCTAAATGTTTTTGCAGTTTTGTGTAATGATTGACATATCAATTTAATATGTGATTATCTAAAACAATTTAATAATTTTACTCCCTGGTTTTTTAAATGTATACATAAATGAAAGAGTCTAATAAAATATAACTGAAAGTATTATTAATTCCAGAATATTAAATTTTCTATGATCTAATCACATGAATTTTTTCACCAGGTTATTCTACTAGGTTTAGGTTTTAAAAATATGGTAGGGGATCAGCCAACATAACTCTGAAGGAAAAGAAGGCTAAATTCTAATATGTAAATTTTTTGTTCACATCTGATTTTCCTTTTTTATAAAAGTTTGCATTAATTCCCCATGTTTCTATATGACAGGGCTGTTTTACACTGAAATGCCATTATGATTGATGTAAGTGTATTATCTGAATAAGCCCTCAGAACCACGTTCATATTACAGGTCATTTGCCTGCTCCTACTGTTAATTGAGATATTTCTAGTAGTTGCTAAAAACTACTGATCTGTCCTATGCTCTCTAGGATCTCTCCTTTGCAGTCAGTATTTCTGTGTAAGTTTTACACCATATTATTTTGCCGTTGTTAGTAGATTGGTGATTGCTTTGATGTGTAGTTTAGGAGTGCTTATCTCTTTTACAAGATCAAGTGTTTCTCAGTTGTTGACTTTTTGTTTTCTTTCTAATTGCTCTGGAATAGTTGGTACAACCCTGCATGTCGTAGATACTAACATATTTTTTTCATATCTAGAAAGATGGGAGAAAAATTACTTATAATTTACATGTTGCAGTTAGACAAAGTGTTAACATTTTATTTAGCTAATACCACCTAATCAGTAATCTAGCAAAAAGTTTAGCTCTACTACAAAGTCCATAGAATCACATAGGTAGAATAAAACATAGTACAAAAATTGTTTGACTATATTTTGTGCCTGGCTCTACTTGATATAAAATTCATAGAAGTAAATGAATATAATACTAAGGCAGATTTACTTTTAAAGTCACACAATTATTTAATAGTGATGTTTAATCTATTAATGAAGAATCCCACAGGATTACAATCAGTATACTTAGTAGAATTACTATAGAACATACCACTATAGCACTAATTTCTTTCTACTCTTCTCAGTTTAATCTTAAATGCCTTGAAAAAAGTATATTTAAATTGGTTGCACTATTAGAAAAAACAATTTAGATTGTTTTTGAAAAAGATTTTCATTACCAAACTTTATTATGGTTTAAATGACTGAGACCACCAAATTCAGATTTGAAGTACATGAAAATGGAGTCTTTTTAGAATTAATCCTATATAATAATAGCCTAATGTGCTGTATCCAGTCAGCCATTTAACCAAGTGTAATCCCACCTAATAAAAGAAAAATATGCAAATTAACCACCACCCACGCCCACCACCCTCGCCCACCAGTCAATCAGAGTGAGTATGCAAATTAACTCCAACCAAGATGGCTACCACCACAAAGGAGGAGGAAGGCTTGGATTTCCCTTGCAATTGAGAAAGCCAAGCTGTCCACACACCCTGGCTGGCCCAGGCCTCCACTCAAGGATACAAAGTTTCAATTATAGAAGATAAATCCTAAGAAAAATGGTGGCAGCCACAGAGCGAGAGAGAGCAGGCTAGGGTTGCCCCTGAGGACAGAGGAATCCAAACTTTCCATCTGCCCTGCTTGGCCTTGGCCTCCACTCCAGGCTACAAAGTTTCAATTATATTAGGTGAATAAACCCCAACAGAAATGGCTGCCACCACAGAGCAAGCAGAAGGCTTGGCTTCGCTCCAGGCTACCAAGTTTCAATTGTAGAAGATAAATATGTCCCAGATACTAGGGCCTCTGCTTGGGTCACCGGGAGTGGGGGGGGGGGGGATGGCCAGCCTGCAAACCACCACAGGCTCCTCACCCAGGCCACCCCATACCTCAAGGGAACCCCCAACCTGATCTGGGACACCCTTCAGGGCAACCAGCTGGCCCCATCCATGCACCAGGCCTCTATCCTGTCTAATAAAAGAATAATATGCAGATTTGACCCTCAATCCAATACACAAGATCAAAATGGCTGCCCCCATGTGGTCAAAAATGACTGTCCCCATGTGGACACAAGATGGCCACCACAAGATGTCCAGCAGAGAAGGGGAGTTGGGAGGGACCAGGCCTGCAAGGAAGGACAGTTGAGGACAATCAAGTCTGCAGGGGAGGGCAGTTAGGGGTGACCAGGCGGCAGAGGAGAGAATTTGGGAGCAAATGGGCTGGCAAGGGAGCAGTTAGACAACAACCAGGCTGGCAGGGGAGTAGTTAAGTGGTGATCAGGTTGGCAGACAGAAGCAGTTAGGGGCAATCAGGAAGGCAGGCAGGTGAGCAGTTGGGAGCCAGCAGTCCTGGATTGTGAGAGGGATGTCTGACTGCCTGTTTAGGCCCAATCCCACCATGGGATCGGGTCTAAATGGGTATTTGGACAACCCTTGAGGGAACCCAGATTGGAGAGGGTGAAGGCTGGGCTGAGAGACATTCCCCTCTTGACGCTCCCCCTTCTCTCCCCCCCACTGCACGAATTTTATGCATCGGCCCTCTAGTATGCTAATGATATGCTAAGGCCACTCAACTGCTTGCTATGATGTGCACTGACCACCAGAGGGGAGACAGTCGATTGGTCGACCAGTCACTATGATGTGCATTGACCACCAGGGGGCAGATGCTCCAACTGGTAGCTTAGCTTACTGCTGGGGTCAGGCCAATGGGGACTGACTGAGAGGGGCTGGACATACCCTGCAGCCGTCCCAGGTCCCTCCCTGGCTGGCCAACCTCCTGCATCCCTCCCTGGCCCAGATCGTGCACCAGTGGGGCACCTGGGCCTGGCCTGTGCCCTCTCACAGTCTGGGACCCCTCAGGGGATGTTGGAGTGCTGGTTTCATTCCAATCCCACAGGCCAGGATGAGGGACCCCACTGGTGCATGAATTCATGCACTGGGCCTCTAGTACTGTGTTTCCCCGAAAATAAGACATCCTCTGAAAATAAGACCTAGTACATGGAAAAATAAGACATCCCCTGAAAATAAGACCTAGCGCATCTTTGGGAGCAAAAATTAATATAAGACACTATCTTATTTTCGGGGAAACAGGGTATTAGATATAAATTCCACAGCCTTAGAGCAAATCCATTAATAAAGAGTGTATCATGAATGTATGTACATGTATACATTTTAAAAACTCTCCTCAGAAATTTCTGTGCTTAACCATTATTTGTTTTTCATAAAACACAAATGATTTAAATGTTTCATCGTTATCTTACCACTCTGGAGCGAATTTCTTTGGCATACAATGGAAATAAAAATTCTGATTCCCCTTCCAGGCGAAGCCCATCTTTTGTAACATGCAAGTGACCCATTCCTATCTGTTAAAAAAATGAGACAATAGAGATTTTGTTATGGTTTTCTTTTAAGATCAGCTTAAATTACATATGCATTTTCATGAATTTCCTATTAGTACTTGTCTGTATTTCTCTCAAATAATTATTTAAAAGCTGTCATTTTTATTTAAGACTGAAAATTTTCAAAGGGAAGTGGTGGGGGAGGCGTGGTGGGGAGAATAGATCAACCAAAGAATTTATATATATATATGCATAACCCATGGACACAGACAATAGTGGGGTAAAGGCCTGGGGAAGAGCCAGGAGTAGGAAGGAGGGGAAGAAGGGGGACATCTGTAATACTTTCAACAGTAAAGATAAAATTTTAAAAAAGGAATAATTTTTTGTTTATAATGAAATAATTTTTTTAGTTTATAATGAAATAATTTCCCAGGTAGTGAGTGGTTAAAATAGACATTATTAGATTAGGCTAAGTTATTTATCTTGTTGCTGTTTACTCAGTTATTTAAAAGATATCAATGAAATATATCTCTAATAATTAATGACTAAGAATATAGATCATCAAGTAAGTTCATTTAGGTATTTCAGAGTTTTTAATTTTTGTTTTCCTTTCTTTTTTGGGGGATGGGGGTGTCAATATCCAATAAAAGAAATGAAACACATTTTTGAATAATGAAGTAACACTATACTAATTTTCTATTGCCATGTAAGAAATTTTCACAAATGTAGTAGCTTATGATACCTATTTCCTATCTCAGTTTCCATGGGTCAGGAATTTGGTTAATGCTCTGGGTCTCATACAGTTGATATATCAGTGAGGATGGGTTCCTTTCTGGAGTTTGGGGTGTGTTGTTGTTGTTGTTGTTGTTGTTGTTGTTGTTTTCAAACTTTTGTGGTGGTTGATAGTTCCTGTGAGAGTAGGAGTGAGGTCTCCATTTTTCTCCTGGCTGTCAGTCAGGGCACACTGTCAGCTCCTAGGGGCCACCCACAGTTCCTTGCCAAGTGGCAACCTCACAGACCCTCATAACATGGCATCTCATGCCTTCAAGGCTTCTGGGAGAATCTCTCATCAAAGATCTTAAGGTCACTTGCCTAATTAAATCAGGTCCACTCAGGATAATTTCCGTCTGATTAATTAAAACCCAACTGATTTGGAACCTTAATTATATTTGCAAAGTCCCTTCACCTCTGTTATTCAATGTAATCCAATCCCATCACTTTTGCCAAGTTCTGTTGGCTAATCATAGGTACTACCCATACTCAAGGAAAGGGGATTATACCAGACAACACCAGAGATGGAGGTCATGGGAAAAGACTTCTTAGAATTTTGCCTATCACAGCATAAACAAGGTAGTTTTTAAAAAATATATATTTAATAATACAAAGACATTTTAGTAATTGTCATTATTATCATTAAATTTGATTTTTGTTTTCATAGTCTAGATATCATGAAAACCCAAAGCAACAAATTAAGTTGATGAATTTTGATCCTCCCAAATAAGACATGATGGAACTCAGTTGCTGATGCAAGAGACTATTAAAATCTAGCTGTCCCCTGCCCATGCAGGGCTATCAGATGGCTTCCTCTTCCTCCCAGGCCCTTCTGAGGGTCTTACTGGCAGTACAGTTTCTCTCTTAGCATTCTGCTAACCGAGGGATGACCACAGGTTTATATAGGGTCCTCTAGTCAGGAGACTTCCCTGACAGATTCCATAACTTATAATTTGAGGAGTTCAACCTTGATTCAGTCTCCAAAAAAATAAGGTATTTAAATTTAGACATAAAAGGCAGGTGATATACCAAACATGCATACCATATACTGTACTGCATTTATAAAGAGAAACTGTCCTATGGAACTAAATATTATTGTTATACTGTAAAAATATTGTTGCCATAAGTTTTAAAGAAAAAAATCACAATTTAAATATATTTATGTGTAATGTTTACATATAGTTTATAATATATTATATACTTATATTAAATATTTTAAATGCATTTATATTAAATATATTAACACACATTTCAAGCTATATTTTGATTGAATTAGTATTTTACCTCTTTGACTGTATGAAAATATAAATATTTATTATGTTAACCACAACAAAAATGTGTCTACTGCCTATAAAATTATGACGGAAAATAAATTATTGCATAGAAAGTGAAAGATACTAATTAATAGAAGGTATTTCAGACTGAATGCTAAAACTATTGTTCTTGGAAAAAACCATGCCTATATCACACCTTCAAAATAAATGTAAGGAGCAGATTAACCTAAATATGGTATCCACTGTAGCATTTTTTTCTCACTGTAATTATTTTACATTCTACATTATATAAATGTTTTTTCAAAAAATACACAAAATATTATGAGAGCATATAAAATTAACTAGCTATCTTAGAAACATGCAGTTATTTAAAACTATGAATGCCTTAGGACTGTGATACTTATTAAATGTTGAAGTATAGACATGAATTTATTGCATGTCAGAATGTACATTTTTTTAAAATGAGGAAGTACCATCTGAATGGTAAATATTTATAAATTAATGAGATTAGAAAAATATAACAAAATTTTACCAATTAAAGAATTAAAAAATTATTAAGCTATCATGACTCAACCAACCATAAACTCAAGATTATTACAATTTTCCTCCATGTAAAGATAATTACTAATAAAATTATAATAAACAAAACACAACAAAGTATGTAGTTTACACTGAAGTTATTTAAAAGGGTAAAAAGGGAAAGTGTTACAGTATTTTTGTTACTGAAAATTCTAATATATATAGGAAACAAAGATTAATTACACTAAAGAAAACTTCTACCAATACAATATGGATGTAGTGATGGTGCAAACATAGCCAAAACATGCCAACCAGCAATCCTGTATAATAAAGAGGTAATATGCAAATTGACCATCACACTATCACAAGATGGCTGCCAAACAATGGAGCAGCAGGCTGCATGGGGTGACCAGGCTAGCAGGGCATTAATGAGGGATAACCAAATGACTGAACAGCAGGCTGCGTGGGGTGACCAGGCTGGCAGGGGGGTTAGTGAGGAATGACCAAACGACTGAACAAGTAGATTGCATGAGGTGACCAGGGGGTAGTCGGGGGTGACCAGGCTGGCAGGGGTGATGCAGCTGGGTGTGACCAGGCTAGCGGGGGGAGGAGGGGCACTATGGGGCAACCAGGTCAGTTGGGGGGGGGGCACTTAGGAGTGACCTGGCTGGCAGGGGTTGCAGTTGGGGGTGACCAGGCCAGCCAGGGGGGCAGTTACGGGTGATCAGGCAGGCAGACAGGTGAGCAGTTAAGAGCCAGCCATCCCAGATTGTGAGAGGGATGTCCAATTGCCAGTTTAGGTCTAATCCTTAGGTCCCGTATTGGAAAGGGTACAGGCTGTGCTGAGGGAACCCCCCTCCCCATGCACAAATTTTGTGCACTGGCCTCTAGTAAATAATGGATAGACAGAGAGATGATAGGTGATAGGTGATAGGTGATAGATAGATGATAGATAGATGATAGATAGATAGATAGATAGATAGATAGATAGATAGATAGATAGATAAAAATAAATAAATACTTACTGGGGAAAACCACATGACTTTAAGAATCCAAATTGCAAGAGCAAAATTCACAAGAAGGATGATGAGTAAAAGAAGAACAAATAAGTAGAGGCAACGCTTTCTCCAGCCATAAATGCCAATTTTGTAGACACACTGGTTCTCTGGCCTCTCTATGTGGGTGCCTTCTGTGGCTGTAGTGTACTGTTCACGTACCATCTGCCGTGGGGTGGGATCAGGGTGTGAGAAGAGTGGGGGAAGGAAGATGGACAAAGGGAAAGAAAGGGAGGGTAAGAGAGAAGGGTAGAGGAAGTGAGAGGGAAGGAGACAGGAAGAAAAGGAGGGATAGACAGAAAGGAAGAACTTTTTTGTCAATACTGATTTATTATGATTCCAACAAAATATTTTTATCCCAATAATAAATTTCCAAAATTAATTATTTTTAAAAGTAGAATAAAATATTACTTTGAAATAGGTCACTACATTTCATCCACAGAATATTTAATTTGTCATGCAAAATGTTTTAGATGTGACATACCCATTTCAAGTTCAATGACCATATTTTCAGATTTTAATCAATAGGTTCAATATACAGTATATACAGCTCTCAAAATTCTGCAGGGTTAAACTTTTAATTGAATTATCAACTTAAAATAATCAAATTACCAAGTCCTTAAAAGATTTGTGAGAGGAAAATCAAATTGGCACCTACATGTCTTCTAAAAAATAGAATCCAGAAGATGCTGCTGACGGGACAGCAGGCTACAGGATAGTGTGTGAGTGAGAGAATGAAAGCAGAGTGTGTGGACATGCCATGAGTGTCTGTATTTGTGAGAGAGGAACAGCTATGTTCCACAGACTGATGGGAACTAGTGGACTGGGCTCCCCTGGTCTGGCAGCTTCTACTGCTTCTGAAATCTACTGGAGCAGCCATCTTTAAGGGGAGACCAGCTGCGATTGGAAGCCCAGCCTTACCTTCAACCTCAGAGACCTTGGATACCTTCCAGGACCCTACATCCGCAATGCCCAAGGGACAGCTGCCTCAGCTGCAAACCCATAAACACTGGGACTCCAGCCTTCCCAACTGTGGGCACCTGAAAAGTCTGTCCAGGGGGAGACAACGCGGCTCTGAATACGTGTATGGGCCCTGCGCCTTCTCACAGAGCAGACAGAAGGAACAGCTGGATTGGACAACACCCACCCAGAATTGGTGAATTAAACAAGGCTGGTGAGGCAATCTGTGGACAGAAAGGTCAGATATTGCCTATATCAGTGGTTCTCAACCTTTCTAATGCTGCGACCGTTTAATACAGTTCCTCATGTTGTGGTGATCCCAAATCATAAAATTATTTTTGTTGCTACTTCATAACTGTAGTTTTGCTACTGTTAATGAATCATAATGTAAATATCTGTGTTTTCCGATAGTCTTAGGCTCTACAACAGTGATTCTCAACCTGTGGAACTCACAGGTTGAGGCCCAGACAGGGGACCCAGAGGTTGAGAACCTCTGCTATAGAGCCTAAGACCACCTGAAAACACAGATATTTATATTACGATTCATTAACAGTAGCAAAATTACAGTTATGAAGTAGCAACAAAAATAATTTTATGGTTGGGGGTTCACCACAACATGAGGAACTGTATTAAAGGATCACGGCATTAGAGAGGTTGAGAACCACTGTCCTAGAGAAAAGTGAGATCTGGGATCCAGGCTGGAGGCAGAAATGCGCACAGCAGGGACTAGAGTCTAAGAGGAACACTGCCCCCACAAAATCAATGGCTGCTGGGGTCAGTGTAGCCCTAGAATGTGGAAGGAGGTCCACAGGGCTGCTGTCAGAAGGGGACTCTAGATATTAGCCCACAGCTGGGTGGATCCAGAATGGCAGCTTGAAATTTTATACTGGCTGCACAGTGCCAGGGGAAAAAGAAGTGAGTAAGCTTTGGCTTTTTTCCTTTCTAACTCGTTGCTTTTGCTTGCTAAGTCCATAGGCTCTTCCAATTAAAAAGATTCACTGAGATTGCAGGGGGAAGTTATTTTTGTGGAAACTGGGGATCAGAGTGGGGAGAGACAAACAGGAAACCAGCTCTGGGGCAGTCTGTCCCTCCAACCCAGTATTAAGTGCAGCAGGGATAGAACAATCTAAACACTGAATAGAGGGGGCTTTTAGCCCTATAGATTAATACAGAAACATCACCACCCAGGGGTTGTATCAGAAATTCAGTCTTGTGTAAATACAACTAAAGGTAGGCTGAGAAACAATGAAAGCAGAGAACTTGAAGACAGGATTGTGGCTTATGACACAGAGGAGTGGTGCATCAAAGAAAGCTTCAATACTGTGCTGACTATCTGATAGAAAACAGACGTGCCAAGCAGGACAGTAGAGAAAGTGAATGACCTTCACTACTTCACTTTTTTTATTTTACTTAAGAAACCAAATTTTCTCACTTGATTTTACTTTTTTTATTATTATACTAGAGGCCCAGTGCACAACATTCCTGCACAAGGGGAGGGTGGTCCCTAAGCCCAGCCTGCACCCTCTCCAATCTGGGATATCCCTCTAACAATCCAGGACTGCTGGTTCCCAACCGTTCACCTGCCTGCCTGCCTGATTGCCCCTAACAACTTCTGCCTGTCAGCCTGATCACTCCCTAACTGCTGCATGATTGCCCCTAACTGCCCTCTCCTGTTGGCCTGGTTATACCTATTTGTCCTCCTCTGCATGCCTGGTAGCCCCCAACTGCCCTTCCCTGCTGGCCCGGTCACCTTAATTACTCTACCCTGCAGGCATGCGCCCCCCCAATTGCTCTCCCCTGCAGGCTTGGTCACCCCCAACTGCCCACCGTTGCTGGCCTGGTCACCCCCAACTGTCCTTCCTTGCAGGCCTGGGTATCCCACAACTGTACTCCCCAGCAGGCTTCATTGCTCCCAACTGCACTCCCTTTCAGGTCTTTTCCCTCCCAACTTCCCTCCCATGCTGGCCTGGTTACCCACAACTGCCCTACCCTGCCACCCATCTTGAGGTGGCCATCTTTGTCTACATGGGCGTGGCCATCTTTGACCAAATGGGGGCAGTCATCTTGTGTGTTGTAGTGGTCAATTTGCATATTATTTCTTTATTATATAGGATTTTTATTTTTAATTAGTATTATTATTATTAATACTAGAGGCCCAATGCACAGATTTGTGAACCATTGGGGTCCCTCGCCTGTCCTGTGCCCTCTTGCAATTTGAGGCCCCTCAAGGACCTGCAGGCCAATCCAAGGGACCACATTGGTGCACAAATCCATGCACCAAGCCACTAGTATACATATAAAAATTTTGGTTAATCTCTTCCTGCACTAACCTCTCCCCTCTCCCCTCTGAGATTCATCAGTCTGTTCCATGTTTCTATGCCTATGTGGTGTCTTCCTCATGGTGGTCAGTGTGTGTCATAGCTACTGGTTGGATGGTTTAGCAATTGCATATATATAATTTTACTTTTTAAATTTATTTTAGGATTAGTGTTCTACATTTTATTTTCATTTTAGCATTATTTTACTCTATCTCAATTTTTCTTTTATGCCAACACTCTTCCTCAATTTTCCCCTTTATCGTCTGGTTTCTGTTACCCTGTACCTATTTTAGTTTTTCTCTCTTTTCTTTTTACTGTCTGTTAAAAATTAATCTTATTAATATATCTAATTTCCTCTCCTCTGCTCTAAGTTCATGCACACTTATCTCTTCATTTTCTTCACTATCCATTTTTTTTTCTTTCTTCATCTGTTCCCCCCACACACACCTTTTTTATTTCTTTCTGTCTTGTTTGTTTGATTGTTGGTTAGTTTTCTTTCTTTCTTTATTTCTTTCTCTTTTTTTTCCTTCTGTTTTTCCTCTCCTCACTGTTCTTTTCTTCTACTAATAGTTTAATTAATTCCAATCACCAACTCATGCTTATCTACTCTCTATTTTCCTTTTCCAATAGAAAACAAATATATAGATAGATTAAAGAATATATATATATATATATATATATATATATATATCCTGTTTCCCCAAAAATAAGACAGTGTCTTATATTAATTTTTGCTCCCAAAGATGCGCTAGGTCTTATTTTCAGGGGATGTCTTATTTTTCCATGAAGAAGAATACGGTGCACATTTATTGTTAAATGAAAATAAAGGAAATTTATTACCTCTACATGGTATGGTAGTACGGTAGTTGTTAACACAAACCAGACAAACTGAATCCTACAGTATCAAGAATTTACTCGTTTATTCAATGACAATCATGTCATCATCTTCTGGAACATCATCATAACAATCCAATTCCTGAATTTCCTGGTGAATTTCTTGAGACTCCATTTCTTTTAGAATCAGTGGACCAAATCTCTCATGTTTAGCCTGGGGGGGGGGGCTTATTTTCAGGGGGATGCCTTATATTTCACTCAGAAGGAAACCTGTAAGTAGGTCTTATTTTCAGAGGATGTCTTATTTTCGGGGAAACACGGTAGTTTTGGAGGTCAGAAGTCTGAAAATGGGTTTTGAAGGCTGAAAATCAGTGTGAGCAGGATTGCATTCTTTTTGAAGGGTCTAGAGGAGAATTTGTTCTTTCCCTTTTCTAGCTTCTAGATGTTCCCTCATTTCTTGACTCCAGTCTCTATTTCTTTTGTCATATCTCTTTCTCTGTCACATCTCCTGCCTACCTCCATAAGGATCCTTGTGATTACATTAAAACAATCACCCTATCTCAGAAATCTTAACAGCCACATCTGCAAAAATCTTTTTACCATGTAAGGTATTGGGAATTAGGACAGGGACATCTTTGGGGGCCAATATACCATTTATCGTGGAAAGCTTTTTTTGTTCACACATAAAATTGATAAAACTTTAATAACATTTTATCATGGTTTACAGGAGAGCTGGTAGCAATTCTGTTATGAGGATAGCCCTTAATTCCCCCAGATCCAGCCCTGTGACACTGTTTTGTTTATGTAATTGTTCACTTGCCTATTGACTCCCTCTTTAGGATGTAATTCCATGTGACTCTTATTCATTACTGTGTCCCTAAAATAGTGCAACTGAGAAAATATAGGCACACAGAAAAAGTCTTAAGTGGATGAATTAATGAACAAATAAATGAACTATTGGCATTGACACACACTAATTGAATCAGGAATGATGCTAGAAAATGGAACTAAATAGATTGTGTAAATTTTCTGGGGTATTAAATAAAATATTCT